GGGTTTCCTTTGCATGTCTACCCAGCTTTCGTCGTCCTTCCCCCCACGCCTAGCCGCCACCTGCAACACTAGCTTGCGCTCTTTCAGTTTTCCAGAAGTAGAATTCAGGCCGTATGGTAGCATTTTAGAAGACGCATCTGCCCAATCAAGTTTCGCCTCTCCTCTCGTTGCATTTCTTGTCTTTTCCTCCGCTCTGGTTCACCACCCATCATACAGTTTCTCCCTACTGGGAGATCGAGTTTATCGCTGGAAGGCGACCTGAACTGTGATTTGTATCTAGTTGAAGTTATAGCTACGATTTAACCTCCTTTTCTCCAATCTCCAAACCCTTATTTGAGCTTGTTTCGGCTTCAAGTCATCCACTGGATTGACAACGACAGTCAGTACTGAATGCTTCCTTTAGTATCACATGGTTTCCATAAAGGGACTCGGCTCCTGACCCATGTTATTCAAAACTGCCGAGTTCCACATGTCTTCCAGGCACAACCATCTTAAAAACACTGCCACTACTGATCCGCGACAATTTAATTCCTCAGAATTGGGAGTCCCCTTATGTCGCAATTAATATTAGCCGGAGGATGTTCTACTGTCCCTTTCCTGTAGACTCTACGGTAGACAGATTATCGACAGCCATCTTCCCTCCTTCCTTGCTGTTACATCTTTCTTTCTCATCTACCCCGCTAGATCCTCATGGTGATAGAGGCTATGGCCGACGGTGGTGTACGCCTTGGCCTCACTCGCGCCTTGGCCCAGAAGTTGGCCATTCAGACGGTCCTCGGAACTGCCGTTATGGCCCGCGAATCCGAATTTCATCCAGCAAAACTTCGTGTAAGTCAAACCCACCGATTTTCACTTTAGCGTTTTTCTATCCTCTGCGTAGGTGTTTAAGCTATAATGCTCGTGCGTGTGTGTGCTGCACCAATTTTGCTATATTTTTGGTTTTGTCCCACTCGGTTGATTCAGTTATCGCGGATGGCCGAGTGGCTTTGTGTCGAATAGCATGCCTTGTCGTGCCATTTGAATCTGCCTATTTACACACTTTCAAGAATTAGGACCAGGAAATGAACGTGTATCCCGTCAACTATCTGAACGACGACAACAAAGACAGTTCGACGAGTCCATGGAATTATTGGCATAGTGGCGGGGACTTGCGTGTGAATTTAATTTATAGCGATAGTGGAGGTGTGCGGCATCTACCGCATTCTCTCCCCTCCTCATCACCGATGTTAAGAGAGATTCAGGAAGACCGGCGGCTGATGCATGCCACAGCAAGGGCGTTAGAAGGGCACCATCGGGTCGTGAAGTGACTTTCGGTCCATGTGCAATTTCATTAGAATTCGCTCAATAAATGTGAGCCTTTCACCAACGACGCAAGTGGGACCGTTAACGTGTGCTATTTTGTCAGCAAGCGTTTGCAACTTTGTTCATCCT